TCAGGAAAACAGAATGAATACAAATAAATAACCTGATGTTACATCTCAAATATCTAGAAAAAGAAGATCAAGTCAAGCCCAAAGCCAGAAGAGAAGAAATTATAAAAATCAGAGCAGAAATCAATGCAATAGAGACTAAAAAAAAAAAATCAAAAAATTCAATGAAACAAAGAGTTGGTTCTTTGAAAGAATAAATAAAATTTATAAGCTCCTAGCCAACCTTATTTTAAAAAGGGAAGAAAACGCTGAAATTCATGCAATAAGAAATGAAAGAGGAGAACTCACTATGGACCCTATAGAAATACAGAAAATCATCAACACCTATTTTGAAAACCTCTACTCTTAAAGGTTTGATAACACAGAGGAAATGGACATATTCCTAGAAGCATACGAAGTACCAAAGCTCGCTCACGAAGATGTAAAACTACTGAATAACCCAATTTCTATTAATGAAATCAAAAACATAATTAAATCCTTACCTACAAAGAAGAGTCCAGGCCCAGTGTCTGCATGGTTGTGAGTTCAATCCCTGGTACCAAAAGTTTGAAGGAAAGTACTCCAAAGAATACAACTTCTCTACTATGCTGTGCCAGGTTTAATAAACATGCAAAAATGAAGATTTCTCATATTCTGCATTTAAAGTAATATGGAATTTGTTGCTTTCACTGACAGCTGGTAAGACACTACCCCTGTGGTGAACATCTAGCAGCCTAAGTACTATGTGAAGTTCTTTTTTTAGTCCTGGATACTTGGTGTCTTGTATACCTCTCTTATCTAAATGTGTATTTTTTCTACATTTTTATGAACAGATTTTTTTGTCAGTCATGATGTTTTCTGATTTTTCATTCACTCCAGTTACTCATCTTTTGCATCATCTAGCAGCTGCTGGATCCATTTTCACGTTCCCTTGTTGCTTTTAACGTGTCTGGGTAGCTGCTCGTTCGGGGAATCATTGGACACGTTATTTTTTAATTACACCCTCTCATTGATCAATTTTACAACCCCACTTTTAATACAGCCTTCAGTTTCATTAACCCAAATGCCCATCAACTGCTGAATGGATAGAAATGTGGTTTTTTTTATACAATGGAGTCATAAAGAAGGATATATAAACGAGATCTTTTTGTAAATGGATGCACCTTGACACCATACTGTTAAGTGAAATAAATCAGACACACATATGTAAGTAAAACCTCACTGTTTCTCTGATGTGAGAAACAAAGTGTAAATAAGGAGCACAGTGTATAACAGATATTGGCAACTCGGAAAAAAACATTAAAATGTGGAAGGAAGCAAAGCAAGGGGGAGCGGAACGGGAAAAGAAGACTAAAATAAAAGAGAAAACAAGAAAAACATAGAAACCAAGCTTCTGGCAATGGTGATGTGAGGGACTGATGGAAGGTTAGAGGAGCAGAAAAAAGGGACAAGCTGTATCATGTCCAGGTGCAAATTTTCAATGACAAATACAAATCTGTGTGTATCTAAAATGTACCTATAAAATCTGATTTAAGAAAGGAAAACAATCTTTACTCTTCTTGATTTCCTTTTGAAATGTTTTCCTGGACAGTAATTCTTTGGTAAATGACCATGTACAGTTGAATAATACTGTTCAGTTCATCCGATGTTTGAGCAGTATCTTCTGAAAGCTTCTGTATCACGAGGGCATTACAGCACCTGCTTTGCCTGTTGCACTGCATCTTCTGATACCCTGCTGAGCACCACCTTACTCTGTTTTCTAACCCCACCAATACCCTTGAGAATAGTCAGTGTGCACAGCTTAGGTTATTCTCTGCCTTGGTCCTACCTGAAATTTCTGTGGGGAGTTGGGAGTTTTGCACGGTATTTTCTTACCTTTATTTCTCATGTTTAATTGATTTTGTTGGTTGGTTAGCAGCTTCATCTCTGCTAATGATACAAAAGATTCCAACCATGCTGAGTTTTGCAGGTGCTTGTAGTGCTGCTTACTGTACAGATAGCTGCAGTCACTTTCCATTACTTACTTTGGATGCTGCTAATTATAGTTCTTAGTCTTTGTGATCAGACCAGCAGCCTCAATTAATTTGGACAGTGACGGTTCAGGCCAGTTGGGTTAGTACCAAGTTCTCTGGGAATGTATCCTACTAGTAGTGTTAATGTCATAAATGGAACCACACACTTTGCATACAGAATAAACACAGTAATAGCAACTTTTAGTGTTCCGAGTAACATTAAGTAAATTAGCTCTTCAAATACCAAGACAAAGAGTATATTAAGATCCTATAGGAATCACCACTAAACCTAAGTAGAAAAATTCACAGTTATAGTCTTGTCATCCTGATACCCTAACTTGTATAGTGCACAGCTAATATGGACTAAAACCAATAGTTACATCTCTGCTAATGGTACAAAAGACTCCAACCAAAATTTTATGGTCTGAACTGCTTAAAAACTAATAAATATTTCTGTTTTTTAACAGAAATAGTGAGCTAGGAAAGAAGGAATCCAAGAAGAAAAAGTTGAAACTTTGAAGTAGACACTAGGAGGAGTACAGAGGTGTTTAAAGTTCTTAAAGGCACTAGAGGGATGTTCGTTGAATGACTAAAAGTTAATAGGAAAAATGGTCAAAAAGTAGAATAAAAAGGAAGGAAAACTAAATTATACAATGCATACAAAGAGACAAAAATTCAAGGGAGAAAACTTAAAACAGGAAGATCTTAAAAAATAAAAATCCCAGAAAATACATGTGAGAAAAAGAGACAAACGGTTAAGTTTCCCCCAAAGATGTAGACAAGCAAAAAGAACAATGAGAGAGGAAAAACACGACTGTTTGTAAGAAGTGAAGAGACAAAGACAGAGACAGACAGACACACACACACACACACACACAGACACACACACACAGAGAGAGAGAGAGAGAGAGAGAGAGAGAGAGAGAGAGAGAGAGAGAGAGATTTTCATTGTGTATCTCCCAAGATCTACAATTAGGGGTGGGTCCAAGTCCAGATACATCCCTGCCCGTTCTGGTAAATAAATAAAGACAGAAGGGAGTCAGCACTCACATGTGATGCCAGCACCAGCAGCCAGTAGGGCCTGCACGCCATTGCCATGACTTTCAAATGCAAAGTGAGTCAGGCTGCGCCTGGGATAGGGCCATTGGAGTGTGTCCTGGGTCCTTTAGCTCAGATGCCTCTTGGAGTCTCTTTCCAGCCTTGTGTCTGAGTAAGACATCTCTCAGCCAGTTCTTGGGAGATGGTAGCAAGGAGAACCTCGGGGAGGAGTCCTGGGATTATTCTAGGACCTGGGCTCAAACAAATAACCCTCCATGGAGGGTATCTGACCACCTAGCATCTCTGTGTTCATGCTGCAAATCGGTTTTGCACCAGATGCCTGTGTTAGGCACTTGCACTACAGCTGCTCTTCCGGCACGGCTTCTGGACTGACCAGTAGCAGGTCACACACGCTCCCTGCAGGTCACAGCAGTGGCTGATCAGAGCTGCCCCCCTGCATTTCTCCCTGGAGTAGTTGGGGGGTCCCCAGTGCTCACTTTGCTCCCGTAGGGTCTGAGCCACCAAGGACCCTCGGCTGCTACAAGTCACAAAGTGCAGATGGTCTCTCTTTTCTGCTTTGTGTTTTTTCCTCAATTTTATGGCACCTTTTCCTTTTATTGTCAGAGCCTCTTGGTTCACAGGAATCAACTTCTCTTTTGCTCTCCGAGCTGTTGTTTTCAAGAGCTTGAATGCTGAATCTCAGAGATTGAGCCGATTCTCTCTCCACCCCAGCATTATCCCCATCCTGTGTGATATATCTTAATACTTCTGTCTTTAGGTGCATCTGTGCTTCTATAAATAACAAAAAATGATTTATCTTTAGGGCACAGTATTGCACTGTGCAGATTTACACTTTCCTTATTGACTCACTCGTTTCTCATCTCCCTGTTGTACATGTGAGCCTTTTCTTTCTTCATCTTCCCTGATTGCTTGGACTAAAATGTTGGGCAGTACGTTAAAGTTTTCACAGTGAACCTTCTTTTCTTCTATGTTCCAGGAAAACCTTTCAGTTATTTCATATTTCATCTAATGTTGCAAATAAGTTTTGCACCAGATTGACATAAGGTCTGTCCATACCTGTTTTTCTAAACAAAAAAATTTTTTAACATGACTGAATATTGAATTTTGTCACTCTTTTCTTATATCTATTCAGAAGATTTTATGGTTTCCTTAGTCTCAAACTTATTGATGTGTGCTTTGATCTTTTCATTTCCCTTCCATGTACTAGCTTTGAGTAAAGTGTCCTTATTTCCTTGATCTTGTTGTACAAGATTGGGTTATTTCTGCGGACTCATTGTTTGTCTGAGTTGGACATTTCCAGCCACAAACTGCTTACCCAGCCTGGAGAATCATTCTATGAAATTGTATGGATTTGTTTACTTTAATGTCTCTAAGATGCATAGATTCACTACTGAAAGGTAGCACATTTGAATTTGATGTCTGTGAGCTGGGCAGTACACATGTCAGCATGTGTCAATCTCAGTGGGATGAATGACCACATGAGTTTGGTGACTTTGGTGAAGACCAGCGATCTGTGCTTACAGTCTCACTTTATGCTGAAGGAAAACTGGAGAGAACAGAAACACTGATAAAATGTAGTAGGTTCAGTTATATTGTCACATTAAGTAGAGAATAAACCATAACACAAAACTGAAGGAATAAGGTAAGGACAGACTATGACTGTGACTGCTAACACACGGGCTGTATGCAGAGGAAGTCGCATCCCTCCCTTTGGTCAGCAGATGCAGTGCATAGAGATGAGCAAACCACTACATTTATATATATATATTTTTTTTCATCTTTTTCCTCTTTTATCGGTACCGGGGATTGAACTCACGACTGCCTGCTAGCAAGGCAGGTGCTTATGCTGCTGAGCTAAATCCCCAGCCCCTACATTTATACCTTAAGTTGACAAGTCAGAACACAATTCACAAAAATTATTCAGTTTCTCTATTAATAAGGACTTTGAGCAACCGAGGTTACAAAACATTTATTGCCAAAGCAGAAATGAAAATTGCAAGATCAAAAAAATAAATAAATGGAACAAAGACTGTGCTTTACAATGCAGGATAGAAACCACCCTGTCAAAACAAACATCAACCCATTCAAAACTTCCTGAGAATGTTCTTGCAGACAAATGATATCAACAATTAAAGCACGTGGAGAAGGCACCTACCTGGCTAGCACAAGTCCCTGAGTTTGATTCCCTCATTAAAAAAAACCATGAAGTTAATTATTGTAATATTGTATTTTCTTGGAGAAAATATATACTACTGTTGGTCTGTATCAGTAAGGGGCTCATAAAAGACCTTTTTTGGATGGAACAGTGAATAATTAACTTCAAAATAAATCACGCCAATATGAGCCTAAAATGTAAAATTTAATGATATCTACTGATATTGTAGACATACGATATTAGCAGCTCTGATGTAGGAAAAAACAGACAAGTTTATGTACTGTCTATAATGTATAATCATGTTGGTGTATGTGTAGTTATTTTCTTAGAATATTAAAAATGTATTTCCTAATTTACACATTGTTTAAAAATGTTTAAACAGAATTTATTAGCATTAAAATTATAATCTATCACATTCATTTAAAAATTTTTGCTACAATAATGGACAGTGGACAGCAAGTTTAAATACAAGGTAGCAAAAAAATGACAACAGTTAAGGAAAATTCAGTTCTGAAGTTAGGTTACAGCACAATTACTAAAACCAAAGAAAACACAGCACAAGCAACTGAACAAAAACCTCCAAACTAATGAGCCTAAACGGCATGTAGAGAAATACCAGTCATTTCATCTGTTGTTCTAACAGTGCAAACTAAATAAGACAATCACCATCTACTTCAACAAACAATATTAAACTCCACTGGTATTGCTTAAAAGAATGTACATAATTAAGTCAGTACAACATGTATTTTAAAAATTGAACTTAAAATTCATAAATCCAGAGATCTATTATAAGACGGAGCTTACAAAATTTAAACTAGGATATTTCTTCTACATGTCTATGTTCTGGAGAAATACTTGATATCTCATTTTTATATAACTCAGTTTTTAGGTTTAAACTACAAATGACCAAAGGATTTGGAAAATATGAGTTATAACTGAGACCTCTGTACACCTACTAGGATTTGACACAATATTCACTCCTATGTGCAGTGCAACTGGTAACTTGTGTACATCAGTTATGTTAATGACTTCTCTCAATGACACATGTATTTGCCATGTGGATTAAATATGTGACTCCTGGTGTTCCCATGTAAAGTACATACGTGTGTCATTCTCCACTGTATGATGCCATTTTAATAAAGTCACGTAAAACTGACGATTTCTCATGCTATGGATCTGTACTAACACTCCTGAATTTGTACGGTTTGACATGTTACTGTCACTACTTTTAAATGGAAGTTCTTAGCTAGGCATGGTGGCTCACGCCTGTAATCCCAGCATTTGGGAGGCTGAGGCAGGAGGATCGTTGTGAGTTTGAGACCAGCCTGGGCTACAAAGTGAGTTCAAGGCCAGCCTGAACTGCACAGTGAGACCCTGACTCAAAAAGAAAGAAAGAAAAAAAAAGGAAGTTCTTCATTTACTTCATGATATCAAGAAGAATCAAAGGGTTTCCATATATAGATATATATACACACACATGTGCATATATTGAATATATATTTCCATAAATATACATACATATGCAATATATATTTCCTTTCCTTTGAATTCTTTCATGTATTAGTTGAGGAAATAGAAACTTTTCTACATTGCTCACAAACTGAGTCTGTTCAGTATAAATTCTTTCACCTATTTAATGAAACCAGTTGCAATGAAAGAGGTTTTACATTGTTTAGAGGAAAATGTTTCAGCCCATCTGATTCATCTCAACCAAAATCACCTTATATTTTCAGCTTTATTCTTCACTTTCGAATGTGACATGTACAACACAAAGAAAGGATTTTGCTTGTTATTTAGTCTTTCTCCCATGTGAGATTTCCTTATTTGACAGTACCCATGTACTGAATGCATTCACACATTGTTTACGATACAGCATTATAACAGTGTGTCAGTTCCTACCTTGCACAAACATATGTGCTGAAAATTTCCCACACTGCTTACACACACTAAATGGCTCTGCAGTGTGCGTCCTTTCATACCCTTTACAAGGATCTTTTGTTCTGAAAGCTTTTACACACTGCTGACATACATACTATTTCTCCTCATCATGGGTCTTTTCATTAATCATCAACTGTATATGCTGAAAGCTTTTCCATACTACCTTCACACATAGGGTTTCTTTGCAGTCACTTCATGTACTTGACAATAAAATTGTGTGCCAAAAGCTTTTCCACGTTGCTTATATGTATAAGGTTTTTCTGCAGTGTGGATCATTTCACGTACTTAATTTTTTGTGCTGAAATTTTCCACATTGCTTAAATACATAGGGTTTCTCCCCAGTGTGGTTTCTTTCATGTATTTCTTAATAAGCACATGACCTGAAAACTTCCACATAGCAGTGAGAGTTCTTTCACATACTTGACAACATTGTGCTAAAATCTTTCATATATTTAGAGATTCTACACAGTGTGACTTTTTTCACGTATTTCAAAATAAGCATGTGAGCTGAAAGTTTTTCCACACTGCTGACATATATAGGCTTTCTCTGCAGGGTGAGTCCTTTCATGTTTTCGGCAATTATCTTTTCGGCTGAAAGCTTTCCCACAGTGCACACACACATAGGGTTTTTCTGCAGAATGAGTCCCTTCATGATTTTTCCATCTATCTTTTCTGCTGAAAGCTTTCCCACATTGCTTACATACATAGGGTCTCTCACGAGTGACTCTGTTCATGTACTTGCCAACTATATAGGGTGTTGAAACCTTTCCTACAGTGCTTACATACAAAGTGAGTCCTTTCATGTACTCGAAGACAGCTGGAAGCCCTGAAAGCTTTCCCACATTGCTTACAATCATAAGGTTTCTCGCCAGTGTGAATCCTTTCATGTGTTTTACAATCCTTCTTTGTACTGAAAGCTTTCCCACATTGCTTACAATCATAAGGTTTCTCGCCAGTGTGAATCCTTTCATGTATTTTACAATCCTTACTTGTGCTAAAAGCTTTCCCACACTGCTTACATACATAGGGTTTCTCCCCAGTGTGACTCCTTCCATGTATTTGAAGATAACTGTATGTGACAAAAGCTTTTCCACATTGCTCACACACATAGGGTCTATCTGCAGTGTGCATTTTTTCATGTACTTGACAATAATATTTTGTGCTAAAAGCTTTCCCACACTGCTTACATACATAGGGTTTCTCCCCAGTGTGACTCCTTCCATGTATTTGAAGATAACTGTATGTGACAAAAGCTTTTCCACATTGCTCACACACATAGGGTCTGTCTGCAGTGTGCATTTTTTCATGTACTTGACAATAATATTTTGTGCTAAAATCTTTCCCACAGTGCTTACATACATAGGGTGACTTCTCCCCAGTGTGAGTTCTTTCATGGACTTGAATTTGACCATATGTGGCAAAAGCTTTTCCACACTGCTTGCATACATAAGGTTTCTCTCCAGTGTGAATCCTTTCATGTACTTGACAATAGTTTTTTGTGCGAAAAGCTTTCCCACACTGCTTACACACATAGGGTTTCTCCCCAGTATGAGTCTTCTCATGTTTTCGCATGTAACTATATGTTATGAAAGCTTTACCGCACTGTATACATAGATAGGATTTCTCCCCAATATGACTTGTTTCATGTATTTCAAAGGAAGCACGTGTGCTGAAAGCTTTCCCACAATGCTTACATATATAGGTTTTCTCTAGAGTATGAGTCCTTTCATGTGTTTCACAATTGTCTTTTCGGTTAAAAGATTTTCCACATTGCTTACATACATATGGTCTCTCTCCAGTGTGAGTCCTTTCATGTACTCGAATGTTACTGTATGTTACGAAACCTTTTCCACAATGCTCACATACATAGCGTTTCTCCCCAGTGTGACTTTTTTCATGTAGTTTACAATAAGCGAGTGTGGTGAAACCTTTTCCACACTGCTTACACTCATAGATTTTCCTTAGAGTGTGAGCCTTTTCATGCATTTGGCAAGTATATTTTCTGCTGAAACTTCTTCCACAGTGCTTACACACATTGGATTTCTTTGCAGTATGAGTGCTTTTATGTTTCTGCCAATGATCTTTTCTGCTGAAAGCTTTCCCACATTGGTCACATGCATAAGGTTTCTTCCCAATAGGACTTCTTTCAACACTATCCAATGAATCATTAGTGAAGGATTCTCCATCGTGTTGAGAATTAAAACTTTCTCCAGGTGGCACACATATATCCATATTCCCCTCATTATGATTTCTTTCACCAATTTGAATATTGTTGGGTGTAATGAATGATTTGGAATCTGACTTTTCTTGGGTGGTATTTTCTTCTGTGCCATCAGAGAGGGAATTTTCACATGGCATATGTTCACGGGGCTCCTCCCCAGGGCTTATCTTTCCATATTTCAGAAAAAACTTGATTTTTGTGGAGGTTTTCAATTCTCTATTACAAGCAGACAGCTTCCCTTGAAATCCCTGCTGCTCATATTTTTTGAGTGCAGTGGTAGCCACAATGCGCCCGTCTGCTGATGCTTGACCAACCAAGGGCCTTCTAGAGGAAACACTTTCACTTGGTTTTACTCCAAGTGTCGTGTGCACATTTGTACTTGGAGACTGCGAAGCGATTTCTCCATATTGAAACCATAATTTATATTGACAGAATTGCTCTACCTCTTCACTTCTGTAAAACAGGGGAGTAATAGTGTGTTTTTAGTATTCACCATAAGGAGATCTGCTTTGATATCCTCTAAGAATACTTAACTACCCAATTACTCTGCATGATGGCTCAGACACAGCCTTTAGACAAACTGTAGGATTCATTTGGGGACTGTTTGCAATGCAAAATACTTCCTTTCTCACTGAAGATTTGGGATATATCTTGAGGGAGACACGTTCCATGTGTTGACGAATTATGGCACCTTTTCCTCCGTCGCTCCATCCTCTCCCCTTCACTGAGCCACTTTACCCACTCTACAGTTTCTTCCTGCCCCTTTTCCATCATCTCTCCATTTACCCCTTAATTCACATGGTGGGATTCGCATGCAAACCATAACTTGTGATACAGAAATCTCCATGTCTGTGATTTAATCTAAGATAATGGGCTCTAGAGCCATCCATATTTTGGCAAATATCACTTCATTCTTTTGTGGAAAATGTTATACCATTATGTGCGCACACTGTTTTTTTCAGTGTTGGAAACTGAACCAATTTTAACACTGAGATGTATCAATGGAGTCTCATCAATCAGTAAGTTACCCAGGCTCAGTATAAATGCATGATCTTTGTTCCTCTGTTTCTCAGAGTTCTAGGGTTCCATGGATGTATTTTATACACAGGCCACACTATACTTTCTTAGTCAGCTCTTCTGTGAATGAGATTTAGGTTTATTCCAGCGGTTAGGTTTTCTAACTTGTTCTGCTACAAATGTACATTTAAGCACCACTATAATATGATTATTTAATATTGTGATGCTACACAGTAAAACTGTAGCTGGGTAAAACAATGTACAATTAATTTCCTTTGTTGGAATCTCGATACACATTTGCATAGCTGTCACACCACATTGCCTGTTCCACTGGTAACATGGGAATGTGCCTTCTGATACTCTGAAATACAAATGCAGTATATGGACTTTGGGGAAATGTTTGAAAATAACTATGATTAAAAGTAGAACCCCCTGGGTTTTGAGTACACTGATAATTAGGAATATTTCAAACAATAAACTACATGTAGGATCTCACAAAATTTGCTTAACATGAAAATGGACTTATAAAAATGCACATACATATAATTGGAAATTAGCTACAGTGCATGCACAGCATTTGGTTTCTATATACCTCTCTTCAATGTCTGAATGCAGTTTTGTCAATGTATCTATAATTCTGACAATGGAACAAAATTGATTTGTTCTGTTTTATTTTTGAGACACAATCTCACTGTATAGTATCAGCTGGCTTTGAACTTACTCTGTGAATCAGGCTGACCTGAAAGTTGTAGCAATTGACTGTCGGCAGCCTCCTAACTATAGGGAGTATGTGAAATCATATCCATACTCCCTCCATTTCATATATTTCAAATAATCAATTGTCAGATTAGAGATATTCAACATGTTTATAATTGTGGAAAAATTTGGTGAGATTTTAAAATTTTGAACGTCATTCTTTCTGTTCGGTTCTGTTCTGTGTGAATTACACCAAGTCCAAAGGCATCTGTAGCTATTTTGAAAACATCAAAAGGCATTCTTATAACTATTCTTGATTTCTGTAATGATTTTAGTCTGGTGTTTCTTATCCTGGTTTTTTTTTTTTTTTTTTTTTTTTTTGTATTGGTTTTATTCTGTTTTATCCCCTTTAAAATAAAAATAAGAACAATAATTTAAACATAGTCTTCCTTTTGCGTTTGCTTGGGTTTAATTTTCTGACATTTGAGGAACATTCTTCTCATGAATGCAAGTTACCTTAGAATGTTTCTGAAGATTTTATTCTCATCCTCAATGTGCTGGTCATCTGAGTTTCTTCCTAAAGTGTAGAAAGAAATATAACAATGACTTATTACATATGTGAAAAACAGCAGACTTCCATTAGATTCATGGTAAAATGTAACCATGACTGGAACATGCATCAGAACACTAAGATCTTACCATGAATGAAACTGCACTGGTGAGCACTATCCAACGCTCTGAGTGCATAAATGAGAAAATAATATTTTCTTTACCTACGGCAGCCAGGTTCCTAATGGTTTCCAACATCACATCTCTGTAAAGCTTCTTCTGGGATGCATCCAGCAAAATCCACTCCTCCCTGGTAAAGTTGAGAGCCACGTCCTTGAACCTCACTGCCTCCTACATCATCAGATACATATTTCCAAGAAGAAGAATAAGATTCACAAAATGAAACATCTCAATTTTATTCATAGATAGTTGATATAAGTCTGAGTTTTCCAAATTTTACTTCATGTCTGGCTCAGCAAACAGTTATTTGCCATTCATATGCCTTCATCACACAGGACCTTTGAGGTTACCTTGCATTTCAGTGCTAAAGCAACAGAGCAATGGGAACAGTGCTTCCCTGGATGGTTAAATGCAATTTTACCTGCAGAAAGTCACTAAAACATGTGTCATAGAAATCAGAATTCAAGTGAAAAAAATAAGCAGAAAACTATGATAAATTATTCAAAAGGAATCAAAGAAAATACCTTTTATTTTCAACATATTACTCATAGACTGATCCCATCTTTTTCTCATTCTATTTAGCCTACATTTTTTTTTTTTTTTGTCTTTTTCCTTTTTATCGGTACCGGGGATCGAACTCACGACTGCCTACTTGCAAGGCAGGCACTTATGCCGCTGAGCTAAACCTCCGGCCCCTTAGCCTACATTTTAACACTTCAACCTGTTTTCATAGACAAATCCTTAGAACACTAAGCTAAGTTTATAAATAATACTTTGGAAAGCTAATAAAAAAGTCACAGACTTTTTTTGACAGTGTCTAACAACAGTGAAATTGCATTAAGGAAACACTATAATGTATATCACTAACGCAAAACCTAAGCTCGACCAAGGAACTGCCTATCTATTCCACTCATTTGCTTTTGAGGCAAAGTACATTTTTTACTAGTCTCATATTTCAATAGCAAGTAGAAAAATAAATGTAGACATATTTAGAATGAGGTGATAATTTTTATAAAAAATTAACATTTGGAAAATATGCTTATTTATCTATGCAGCTTAGAGGAAATATGCCTAGTTTCATCAAAAATGTAAAACCAACATTGAAAGCAAGAGGAATACACTGAAAGGGCAAAAACATGATGAATTATTATAAGAAGAAAGCGAGATAGGAAAACAACATTACAATGCAAGATAACTATAAATATCATGGGTTCTTTAATATTTGAAAAAGGGTCTTCCTGTGTGGCCCTGGCAGACCGTCCTCCTCTGACCATGATCAGATTCTGACTGTTGTGAACACAGGTGCAGGTGCTGTGCCTAAGAAATCATGTGCTTGAGCCGGGCGTGGTGGCTCAGGCCTGTAATCCCAGCACAGAGGAGGCTAAGGTGGGAGGATCCTTGCGAGTTCGAGACCAGCCTGGGCTACAAAGTGAGCTTGAGGCCAGCCTGAAGTGCATAGCGAGACCCCTTTCAAAAAAAGACACAAAGAAAAAAAAGAAATCATGTGCTCAGAGACCTGAAAATGTCACAAAATTAAGATTTACTGAATTTTACACTACAGGTAGGTAAATTCTTAGACATATTGAAATTTTCAGATCAGATACTAAAAGAAGAGATGCTGGAAAGTCAAAGAAAGAAGCTAACAATTGCAGTATTAAAGTGCCCCTCCACATAGTGAGGTCACTGAGAGCTTCCAAGTGATTCCACAAAATAATTAATTAATTGCTTAAGGTGAGATTTTGCCCAATATGCAATCTATATGCTACTTCCTCATGTCAAGTGTATACATAATATGCACATTCTAATAAAAATTATAATAAAGATATACTCAGACACAGCTTCATATGTATGTAATCCAAGAAAATAAGTAGGCAAAATGCCACAGTACATTTTAACAGATTCACTCAATATTTAATTCAAACCAGGAAAGGATTTACTGTCGGGAGACTTTCAAGCTGGAAACGGACCACAAGTGCAAACCTGCAGTGTGGCCACGCCAAGAGCACCCGGGCAAAGCCACTTGAAGCTGCTTCAGCCCAGAGATCACTTAGCCCCAAGACCACCTAAACAGTGGGTAACTAGGACAAGAGCTATCATGTGATATTAAGCTGCTAAAATACATAAATGGCCTGCAGTGAGGGGACAGTTCCCTTCCTGCTATCTGGAGAGTAAGGCTCCACCTCCTCCAGCTTTGTCCTGTGTCAGCCTCTCACTGTCCTTCACCCAAGAAGCCTGAGTGCTGCACAGGTCATGGCACGTGGTGTCTGAACAGGGACAGGGTGAGAGACTGGGAGCAGGGGGACACTTCTTTTTGCGCACAGCTGGGGTGGGGAGAGTGCATTAGAACAGATCAATACGCATCCCTGGAGTGTTTTTATTAGCTTCATCCCATGTAAAGACTGGGGCACTGAAACAAGCTCTGACACTCCAGGGCCACAGCTGTAAATGGGCTCGTGAGAAACCTCTTCCTCGGAGGGTAAAGAAAATAAAGAGGTGCATAATTTCATTACTGGTATAATTTTGAGACAAACGAGTTCTAAAGAATCACAAATGTATATGTAATTGTTTGTTGTACGCTTGATCTCAGCATTTAATTTCATTTATGGATTTTGATAAGGAGCTAACAATGATTATAAACTTGTTGAAACAGTCACAAGGAAATTGGTTCATCGTAATATTTTAAAATCCAGTCCAAGCAGGGAAAAGATGGTGGAAAAACAGAAACAATAAAGTTTATGTTTCATAATTCTTGCTCATTAGATAAGGAAGGAGATGGGGATAACTTCCCCACAAGAGAGCATTGCTGTGAATTCTATTTTACACCGGATACTTTGAGTCACAGACAGCTCCACCTTTTCAGCTCAGAGACATTTTGCTGCATGACAGATTAGAACTTTCAGCTCTGAGGGAGTAGAGGCATCTTCTCTGTCTCCCTTGCAATTGGTGCTAAAAGAAGTCAACTGGGTGGGGGGTAAATGGAGCGATTGAGCACATCCACCTAGCTACGATCTTTGAATCTCCAACAGTCTGAGATAAATTATAATCTCTCAGGGCATCAGGTTACTGCTTAAAGGAGAAACCTAAGCTACTTGTTTTCATTGTAAAGGGGGAGAGATATTTTACTTGAAACAGCTTTTCTGCTGCATCTATGGGGGCAACACAGCTACTAACTGTCCCTTCAATAAGACCTTCAGCTATCTGACCAACATGTAGGTGAGGATATCATTGGGCCACTTGATGTAAATTGAAAACTGATGTGGATGGCCCGCCTGTTCCAGAAAAGCTTCCAGCAGGCCCTGTAACAGCCCTGCCAAGGAGTAGGGGTGCTACGGCCCACACAGCTCCCCGGAGACGGCATGGCCCTGCTTAGCATGGCAGGCTCCGAGGAGGTAGGGGTGATGTGGTCCTGGTGTGCAGCTGGCTGATTGTTGTCTAGAGAATACTCTCACAAAAGGCAGTTTCAGATAACCAATATGGTAACAACTAGCCTGTGAACTTGTAAAAATTCAGTATCTGGCTTTCACGAGGTGATCACAGTCCAAAGTGGGAAGGAGAGTCCTGGGTGCCTAAATACAAAACGTAGCTTTTTTCATCTGTACCTTACCACAGAAATTCCCTATAATCTCACAACAAAAAAATTTTAAAATGTGCTCACAATTTAAATTTCAAGTGGGAGAGTTCACCTCCTTATAAACTTTACTTGGTAGTATATAACATTTAAAATTTTTAAATTTTAATAAAAATACAAGAACTTCAGCAGAAAGCAATCAAAGAAAGCCTAAACAGAGTCCTCTGGAAAGACCGCCATACTGGACAATGAAAGCATCTAGTCCAGTGCTAATCCGGGGTCGAGGGTGTGCTGATGTTTATCAAGGAAATGCTGAAGGGCCTCTCTGGGTGCCACAGCACGCTTTCCAGCTGCACCAGGGACCCAAACCCAGGGAAGGAGTTGACTCCACCACTCAAGGAGCTGATGCTCAGTCGTATGACAGCGATGCCTCAGTGGGAGACCACACCACACCTGATAGAAAAGGATGAAGCCACAACCGACCCTAACTGACCAGGATGCCCAGGGGATGGTAATCAGAAAGAAAACCAATATTTTAAATAGGTGATGAGAGAATATAGAGGAAACCAAATTAAAAGTTACATGAAAAGAGGGGGACACAAAAGTTGCTAGTGTTTTTAAGACTGACTGCAAAATACATGTTAATTGTAGATAAGATTTTGTCCTTTCCAAATTCTTTTTATAAGCGATCTCTGCTATGGACCTACAACAAATCAGACTGGTTTATTTATAATTATAAATTCTAAAATTGTAACGATTATTATAGTTCACTTTGGTGAAATATATTTGAGTGCACCCTGATTTTGTAAGATGTTTGTCTGCCTGTGTCTGTGGTGTGTTTGTTCAGTCTGTAAAGTGGTTGTTGGGAGTCAACTGAGCTAGTGACCATTCACACATGTGGAGCCAAAAATCACTAGAGCCCACACAGGAGTGCCCAAATGGCATGGAGCGCCTGAAAAATGCCCTGAGGGCATGGCCCTGAGAACACAGGTGTAAGAAATGAGCTAGTTCAGCAAAGGGACATGACAGAAGGATTTAAATAACCCTGCCAGGAACTTATGAGAGTTCTCACAACACTGACAAGCTGTATATTTGTTTCTATATCTGTGTCAGTCTGTAGAGATAGTGCGTCCATGTTTGTCCATTTTTCCATTCTGTGGACAGCTGGTCTTTTTATTTACCCTTAACAATTTTTATTTTTTTCTTTCTTTTGCATTTTTAAATCATTTACTAAAAGTTTATTGGTGTTATAATTAATAAATTATGCTTAACCTTGCATTGCAAGCTGGTAAAAGGATGCCAAATTTGGTTTTGTATATGTAATGCATACTGTTGTTTATTATTGACTTGACAGTGTCTCATTGTTTAAAAAAAAATGTGTTAAATGTTATGATTGGGTTTTCATTAAGAATTATTATTAAGGGGACTGGGGATTTAGCTCAGCGGCATAAGCGCCTGCCTTGCAAGCGTGTGGTCGTGAGTTCGATCCCTAGTACTGATTAAAAAAAGAATTATTATTAAGATAATTAAGTAAAAACCCCTTAGGTTAGGGAGAGATTGTTGGACAGGACTCAAATTAATAAATAAGAAGGATCTGGGCCGG